ATATAGATTGATTGATTGATTGATTGATTGATTGATTGATTGATAGATAGATAGAGTTGATAGATATATATATATAGATAGATATATAGATTGATTGATTGATTGATTGATTGATTGATTGATTGATAGATAGATACATGTGTGAACATATACATTATAAAAACCAACTAGCGTAAAGTATTTTTAGTCTTTGTTTTACAGATGAAGTAAATGTTTATCAAATACAGTCCAGTGTTACAACTAATTATGGATCCATTTAAAGGCTTTTTGTTTTAAATGAAAGATTCTAATTAAAACTTTAAAAAGTTCTTTATGAGGAGTGATGAGGACATGATTCTTTATTTATTCTTAATTTACCAGAAATACTTCAGTTATAGTAGAGGAACATCTGATGTTAGAATAATGATGAATAATAAATGTGTTTTAATCAACAGCTTAGTTCAAATACTTACAATAAATATTCAATAAAAAACACGTTTCCTCCTAAATGTTTAACATTTTAATAAACTTTAGGTTCTGCAGCAGAAACAGTTAAAAAATACAGATTTTCCTAACTGTGTTTTAAATGTGGCAGCAGTGAAATAAAATAATCTTTTGTGTAAATTGAAATAGAATAATCTTTACCTGCCAGCAGCACCATGAAGCTCCAGAAGATGTTTTCAGATCTCATCCTGAGTTCCTCGTCTCTCAGATGTTTGTCACCAAACTGAGCCGAGAGTATACAAAAAGAGACATCTGGTGGAAAAATTGCAAAACTTCCTGTTTTAACTTCACAACTTCCTCCTGTTTGACCGTAAGTCTCCATTTCATCCACAAAATTAACCCCCTTAAGAGAAACTTTTCTATAAACGAGACGGAAAAAACAGCTTTCATTTCAATCCTGCAATATTTTACTGACAGACACTTAATGTTTATTTCTAATAAATAAAATCAACAGATGCAGAGAAACAACCGTTCAAATAAAAGAGGATGGTTTAAAAAGGAAGTAAGAAACTGTAATCTTACCAGTAAACACAAACTGACCACAAGTTACAGACAAAAATTACAAAAGAAAAAAAAGGGAGAGAAACAGAACCTACAAGAAAGATTAGAAACCAGCAGCAACATCTTAGAATCAAAAAACAATAAAATAAGATGCAAGATTTAAAGAAAAGTCCTGATGTGAACAAACCCTCCTCACATCCAGGTGAGCTACAGGTAGCTCAGGTCAGTTTGAGTGTAAAACAGAAAATGATGAGTCAGCAGGTTTTTTTGTCACTTCAGTAGAAAACAAAACCAAATATTATTAGTTTATTTATTTCTTCATCATCAGTGACCTTTTTAAGTGAAGAGAAAATAGAGAAAGAGAGAAAAACAGAGAGAGAAGTAACTGGAAAGATTGAAATAGCGATTAGAAGTATATTAAATTTACACCAACAAAACACAGGACCACACACCCAACATCAGTCAACTCACCTCAAAAAAATGGATAAATACATGGAGGGCATATATCAATATATACAC